CCCCTATCTCCAGCTGATCTGTGCAATACAAACACTGGGCAGTAGCTAGGATCCTCTCATGCAAATTTACGTGGGCAAATGGTTGCCCATAAGGAAAACAGGGCACTGCTTTTCCTCCCCAGCTGCAAGGCAGGCCTGTGAATGGGGCTGAGCACTGCATTGGTCTTGATGTCCCTCCCTGCCTCCCCACTTCCCCCGTGAAATCTGAAACGTGGCTATTTCTGCCACCACTGACAAATACTGTCACCTTTCGCTCCCTCCCCTCCCTCACGGGTGACAGGGTGCAGCACTGGGGACCATAAATGAATCATCACTCCGCAGCTCCTGTGGCTTTCGAGTGCAGCGGTGGGAGCAGAGCCACCCACGCCAGGCCAGTGTCATGGGGACGGGGGACCACAGCCCCAGCCCCACAGAGAGGTGTGTGGGTCTGCATTGCATTTGGCTTTTATTGGGAAAATGGGAATAAATACCAGGGGCTGAAAGGGAGAAGAGAGGGAAGCTGGCTCTGAAACATCCCTGTGGCTGCTGGTCATGCTGCCTCTTTGCCTTGCCTGGCCACAGCAACCGGGATCTGGCAGCGCTGGGAAACCCCAGGTGGCCCAGCAATGCCCAGGGCAGGGTAATCCCAGGAAAGGCCAGACATGGAGAAGCCCAACCTGGCTGGGAAAGCTGTGTCCCACATGGGGACAGACCTGGGCTTGGGTCAGCATCTCCACTGCCACTGTCACCATTTCAGAGGATCTTCTTTCACAGAAAACTTACACATTTGCTTATATTGATCTGAATTCATCTCGGCAGGCATTAAAAAGTTTCTGACAGGCAGGGACTGCTATGCGAAAGAGCTAAAAGTTGAAGGGGAACTCCCTTCGGTTGGATACAGTCTTGGTTTCTTTACAGAGCCCCAGCACATTGCTCAACATTGCAAGACCACTTTTTATAGGTAAAGACACAAAGCAAGCTTTGGATACCACAGTCCAGCAGTTCAGCTTCTCCGATATGTGACTTGATCCAATTGCCCTCAGACCCTTCCTGCCCCCCAGGCTGATCCTCCTAGTTTTTCATCAGGCTTGCAGCTTTTCTTTGAGTAAAATATAGAGCATTTTATTGCACAAGTGTAATATTGCACATTGCTCATCTCATTCCCAAGGGGGTAAGAGCACCTTGACATGAGGAAATCATTGTCCTTTTTTGCCAGCTCAACTTCCATTTTGGGGTGTCACTCACACCCCTCCCCGGGCACCAGTGCTCACCACATCGCTCCTCCACAGGCGGCACATTCCAGAGCACAATCAAACCTATTGTGCAGCTCTGAAACAGTTTTGGCTTTAATCTGCCAGGGGGAACAGCACGAGGATTTTATATCTAATCCAATAAATCTGCACTGACATCTTGTGGAGATCATGAGACCAGAACACGGCAGCCACCCCGCAGGGTGGGATTCACACCCTCGCAGCAGCACTTCCCAAGGCACCTGCAGGTGTGTCCACGGTGAAACCAGGCCCCGCTGTGCCAGAAGTCATCGTTATCTGTCCATGAACATCACTGGGCTAAGTGATCCTCCCAAACCCAACTAAAATGAGACTGCTTACTTTTAAATCCTCACAAAAAGCAGTATCTTGGCCCCTCTTGCATAAATGCTTCAGGCTTCTTGTCAAAGCCCAGGTTTCCAATGAGGAGCTATTTTCATACTGGAATTTTATTACCTCTGTAAGCGTAGAAAGAAAATGGATCTTAGTGCTCCTCCAGGAGTCCTTTAGTGCTTCTCTTAATCTAAAAATATACGGTTTAAGCAAAAACTGCCTGTTGTTTGTGAACATGCACAAGACTTTCCTCCCTCTTCATCCCATTAATTTTAGCTCCTCTGCCAGGTCAAAAGGGTTAAATTAAGCCACTGACATCTTTCTTCCAGTGCTTGGGTAAGCGTTCAAGGAGTACAGCCCCTGGTAGGCACAGGCCACAGCAATGCTGTGGTGCAATTGCTTGGTAGGGGTTAATGCCAATAGCAGAAATCCCAGCACAGACAATCTTGCAACCAAACCATACAATCCAGCTTCTTCCTAATATCATGCTGGGGAGTAAATGCTCATGCTTACTCCATAGCAGGAGAAAAAGCGCTTCATCAAGTCTGATTTCTAGCAAACCATTCATATCAAATAGGTTTGAGAAGACAAAGGATGCCATCAGATGTCAGAGACAAGGTTTGGGCTGGTGTACAACCCCACCGAGCCCCACCTGTGTTAGCACAATAGATTATTCAGCCCTTCACAGGTTTTTCACCCTACTCACTCCTATCTTTCCTTTGGGCAAGGGACCATTCCTCAAATTTATGTTTTTTTCCAGCCTAATTTCTGACCTGTGCAGTTTGGTGGGGGGAACACAGAGCTGGGTTCAAACCAAGTTGTGAGCAAGTGCTTCGGATTTAGCTTAACTTCCGTAATCAGTTTGACCATTGGTTCAGGCAGGGCAGGATCGGCCCTTTGGAAGCAGAAATAATGAAGTTACAGAGACAAGCAGGTAATGAACGTTATGCCTTCAACTTCTCCATTACACCTTTACAAACCATATGGACCCCTTTCTTCCCTCACTCTGTCAACGTGGAGTTGCTGTTCTCTGCCAGGTCTTCTACCTGCACCAGTGACTCCATCCTCTCTGAGATGGCCAGAGACCCTCTGGAACCGCTGCAGTAGCACCAGACAGGTGGAAAATGGAGACTAATCTGGTGCGATGGAAAGGGAGAGGAAAGGAGCTTGGACTTCCTCATGGTGTAGTGGCCAACCTGGGGAAGCCATGGCCATCATTCACAGTGCTATCAACAGCCACCACCAGCAACAAGGAGTCTCTACACCTTTGCATGCAACTTTGCAGTAGCTTAGCCATCTCCACTCAACAAGACGTTCTCTTTCTGCTCTGCACCCATTGTAGCCACCCCAGAGGAAAAACTGTCACCCAAAATCACACATGGACCACGTTCCCCACAGTCACAGCTCTGGGTCAGTCTGCTCCATCTCCTCACTCTTCTCAAGTCTGCGTCAACTGCCCTGGCCCCCCCAAAGCCAGACCTAACCAGAAACAGCACCTCACCAGTTACAAGAGGAGGGAAACCAGCCACCATAAGAAAAGCCCCAGTGACTCCAGCGAGGGGATCACAAGTTGCAGCACTGGCTCCACTCTGAATAACAGCGGACAGCTTTTATCCTTTGGGCTGCAAAAGAAAGGGGGTAATATTTATGCATCTAAGTGACTAATCTGTAAGCAATGCTTTAAATTCCTGCGAGCCTACTCCTTTGGACTGCCAAGAAGCATACACCATCTCAAAAACCCCATACGCATAAAAACCCTGCCACTTGGGCTCTCTTAACATGCCTTGAGCAGTCCCAGTACGCATCCATACATATGTGCAGCTCGGTCCGATTACTCAAATCCTGTTGCCTAGTATTAACTCTCAAATCTATATTTAAGCACCTAAGTAGGAATTACTGCAGCTTTCCAAAGATCCTAAGCACCAGGAGCTCTTGTTAAGAGCTTGTCGAAGTACTGACCTCCTAATGAATCTGTTTAAATGATAACACCTCGCTCCTGCTGCTGTGGAGCTCAGTACTTTCATACACAGCGAAAGCTCTTCCAGGAAAAGCTGAGCTTGTAAGCATCCCGTCTTTTGTATCAAAACACAGGTTAGACGCAGGCCGTGGTGAATCCAAAGTCACTGCACCTTGTTTTAGAAAAGGCTTGAAATACAGCAATACATAGGCTGTGCATCATTATTTGGTAGAAATTTGGGAAGAACGGTATTTTTGAAGTAAAACATGTCTGGGTATTGAACCAAAAAATCAGAACTGTCCTAGTACTAAATGGAGATACTTTGTTATAATTTTGACTCTTTCCATTTCAAAGCCAGGAAGCCTCTGAAAACATCTGCAAAGTCTGAAACTTGCTGTTCTTACAGTTAGAAACTCAAAAAGCTGCTTTTCCCTTCCACAGCCCGAGTCGTGCCCTTTCCCAGACGGGCAAACTCATGTCCTGCAGATGAGCAGAACACAGCAACAATATTCTCATCCATAGAGAGAGGCCAAATCTTTCCTTTTCATTTGCTTTCTTGCAAATCAGTTTGCATAAGCACCCAGTGTTTTACCTCCATTCTGTAACTTCCTCCTTCTTGCATGACTTACAAGGAAATGTGAGAAAAAGACAGGAGGGTGTTTTGGGGACCAATAGCTGCAAAAGTGGTTGGAGTGAATGCAAGCGAACAAGGAGGAACACAACATCCAACCAGGCCCATTTTTAAACAAAAAATAGCGATGGGAAGTTGGTCAAAAGCTTCAGAATGGATATTTGGATGGTAGGAGAGACTTCCTGCATCATTTGACACAACTCACCAGTATTACGTTGCGCACACACCTCAGGAATGCAATAGCCTTTCATTGAGCAGATGAACTAACAAGCATTCAACTCAAATGACTTAGTCATGACCAAAAATTGTAACATTAACCAATAAAGATAATTAGTGAAGGGAGAATAGAAGGGATTAATAACATCCAAATACCAGTGTATGTAATGAATTAGCAAAATGAACTGTTACCATCTCAGTAACAGCTTTTCAAAATTGGAGCTGTATCAGGAGTTTTTAAAAATGAAAGCACTGCAAGTTTTCCAGAATGGGAAAGATGATCAAACCAAATGTGAAGGGTATAGGAAGCGGAATTAGACCTAATAGTTTGTATGGTCAAAAGATTAGTTTCAAATTTTAAAGAAAACAATTTTGATTAACTAATTTTAAATGCACATTCTAAAAAAGCCGTACTTTTCAGTTCCTTCTGTTGCTGTCAAAACATATCTACATAGACATGGACATACACACATGAAAGTATGACCTTTCAGTTTATTACTTAAAATACAACTTTCAGGTTCCGTGATTATCATGCACTGACAGTATTTTCATTACAAAAAATCACCACTTTTGTCATAATCATTCTTCATTTCAAGGTTAAGTACTTTCCCAAGTCTCAAATCTCTTGAAGAAGTTCCTTCTTTTCCTCAAAATACCTGTGGAACCACTCAATGTGTTCAATCTTCTGTTTAACGCTGAGGTACGGGTTTTTCGAAAGCCCACAGATGACAAGCTCCATGAAGTGACGAATAGGTCCTTGCTTGGGGAAGACTTCGAGGTGCTTCTCCAGAAAGATGTGTTCATGAAATTCAGCATCGTCCTCCATCCCTAACAGAAGGGACCAAAAAAATGACAGTGTCATTATTATAATTTAACAGCAAATTTAAAGTAAAAAAGGATATAGTTTGCTAATAAACCTTAAATTAGTAAAATGAGTGGTTCTGTGCCTTTAAATTATTTTGCACAGTTAAGCCAACCAACATAGAAGTGGAAGAAACTGCACAATTTTAAGACATTCATTTCTTCCTCCACATAAAATATGTCAGCATATACCATACTCCTGTCTACTATATTACTTACATTTTCTGCTCTCATTTATGAGAATAATATTTAAATCAACTTTCTGACTGGCAACCTCTCAGAAGGCCAATGTCAGAGGAAAAAAAAATTTAAAATAAATCCATTTTTTTGCTTAAAATCTTCTTTGTTCAATATGTGAAAACTTTGATTCATCATGGGTAACATCTTTTATATTGTGGACACTTTCTTAATAAATTCTTTAAGAAAACTCTGCCTAAATTCTGCAGAGGGTTAAAGAACACAAACTTGTCTTGAACAAATGAGGCAACCTCCTAAAGTATCTAATACTAACAGCTAACACAGACTTGCATGTTTATTGCTAGTCATGGTTTTAACAACCTATGGCTACCTAATGGGCATAGAAAATAGTTTTTCTAACACTTCTGGAATCTGTGAGTGTGTGCCGAAGCAAAGATGTGTATCTCACCAGCTGCTACCTTTTAAAGTTGCAACCAGTGCAAAAGATGATGCATTCAAAAGCATCCACAGGAACATGGGACAAGGGATTACTGTAGATCTCTAATGAAACACAGAGATCCTTCCTGCTCCGGCAGGGGGATTGGACTAGATGATCTTTTGAGGTCCCTTCCAATCCCTAACGTTCTGTGATTCTGTGATTCTGTGAGATCAAACCATCCTATGGTAATTTTTTGTTCTTGGTCCTGTGGGTTTCCTTTGCTGTTGTTCATACTACGATGCTAGCGTACAGAAGGCAAGACAAATTCTTACATAGAGAAAAAAGGCTGCTTTCACAATTCTGAGATAAAAAAATCAAGACAAACTATAATTTGCAAGTGAAAGATTTTTCTTCAGTTACGAGATATATGAAAGTTTTTATGTTATCCAAATCTGCTACAGATTTGTAAGTTATGTCTGGAACTAGCTAGGATATATGGTATTATTTGACATCATTAAATGAGGAGTATTAAAACTCACATAATGAAGCCACTTCAGTCCTAGGCTTCCTCCTTTGTTAGAGCTTCCTCCATTCCAGAGGAGCATCACTGGGATGGAGAAGTCTCTCTGCCTGTATATCCTATTCGTTAAGTGCACATTGTTTCTTTCCTGTTTTAAACTTTAGGTACTGCAATCCCCAAAGGACTTGGGAAATACACCTAGTTTTCTCACAGATGTTTCTCAGAAATACGTGAATGCCTATCAATGTCAGCTACACACCATCTCCTTTGTGACTGAAAAAGAACACGTGTTTCTTTCTTCAGAAGCTCCCTTCTTTTTCCCTTATGTTAAAAGGAAAAAAAGTCACATCATCTTCAGGAGGTGGACTTCTACTCTGCTTGGAAACCTACGTCTACTCACAGAAGCACAGAGATGTTCCTTTTACCATGCCACTCACACCACCTTTCCCCACCGAAGGAAGGTGGAATCTCACTGCAGCCAGATGCTGCTGATTGCTTCCACAAGCAAACATCCTTTCCAGATTTCCATACTTTCGCAGGTCACAAAAATCCAGAACTAAACCAATGAAGACAGTACTGCAAGAATCTGAATAATACTGACGGTACAACCTGGCCTTTTGGATGCTTTTCTTTTGGCAACAGATACAGCGTATCAGGAGAGAGTACGTCTCATTAATAATTTCACCAATTTTCCTCTCTAACTCAAAAGAAATTAAGCCATTTGTAGTCTCACAAAAACGCAGGTCAGAAGGAACTTTTACGTCATGTATTTTGATCTCCCATTTGTCAAAGACACAATGTATGGTTTGGGGATGAAGTGTTAAGTCCAAACATTTCACTTAGACCGCATATTTCAGTCCTCAAAAAAGTAAAGTGTGCATCACAAGAAGAGATCACAATTGCTCAAAGCATCAGAGGCAGAGACCTCTGGTGGGAACTGATTAGACAAGATATGCTCAAATCAGTCCGCCCACCCCCAGCAAGCCGTAACTCCAGCTGCATGGGAAGAGCAAGCCTGCCTCTCGTGCACCGTCCTCAGAAACTTAATTTGAAAGAATATGCACGGTGGGAGTCTGAAGTAGAGGATTTTCTTTATCAACCTCAAAGGAGGAAGTCACCCATGCTCAATATCCTACTTCCAATCCCTTATGTACCACGAAACGGAAAGTCTAAAGAAGTTCTCTAGCTAAAACACTAGATTACAAACTTTGCCTTAAAGATGACATCTCAAATGCAGATGTCCACGCCTACAGGAAGTCTTGTTGACATGCTCACAGTAAATAAAGAGGACCAAGTATCCTCATCCTGTGGGAGGTGTCCCTGATTATGGCAGGGGGGTGGACTAGATGATCTTTAAAGGTCTCTTCCAACTCAAACCATTCTACGTTTCTAGGATTTTTAGAACAAGAAAAACTGTGCCCTTACAGTAGGTCCCTAGAATAGACTCAGAAATAGTAAAACAAACCCAACCTAAAATGACTGTGTAACATTTGCCACCTCTCCTGGCAAACCAATCCAATGCTTCTCTGTTGGAAACTACACCTCAGCGAAACAGCCACAACAGGACTTGACAAATTCTTGCCAGCAGAAGCCATCAGGGGTAACTGAGGCATTAATTTTCCAAGACTTCCATCAAACTTATCACTTCTGCCATAACAATCTCTGGCCCACCAGAAGAATCTGCTCTTCAGAATGAAGTGCTAAAGCAAAGTAGCACCAGTTATCTGCACTGTCATTTTAATCACTGCACTCCTCAGGATTTAAATCATCAAGGCATAAATGCACAGAAATAATTTATAAAGGGGGCAGAAATCAATGTTTTTCCCAACTCTTCACCATGGCAAGTCATGGAGCAGAACTAAAGCTACTAGAAGAAGCAAGCAGAAAGAAGGAAGAGTGAGAATGATGTTATGTGAGCTACACTAATAGTTTGCTAATCTAGCAAAAATTAATCAGAGGTCAGGGAGATGGAACTGCATCAGAGAAAGGAAAGGACACGCTGGCAGGAGCAGACAACAGGGCAGCAGGGGGGAAGACTGTGAGTGGCCATTGCAGCAACCCAGTACACCTAGCCACATCTTCAGATGTGGCTCATAATGCTAAAAATTGAGTACACGTGCTTCCTAAATAGAAAATTTAATTACACATATGTATGTAGCATAAACGAAAGATCACACATTTTTCTGATAACAGAACAAGCAGAGGTAGCATCCGCCTATTGAGGGAGACAAATGTTACAGAACTGCAAAATTAACATGGTTCTTCTGCAGAGCCACTGAAAGTACAGTATGTTGAAATAACCGGAGCGAGGTCCTCAAGCTTTTAACTACGCTTTCACACACCTGACCTGATTAACAGCTTGTGGCTGGCAGTGTGATAGGATGGAATTTACTGACTGGATATTTCAACCCGAGAGGTGAAAGATTTTGGAACCCTCCACTGGAATTTTCCACATGACTGGTCATTGTGGACAAATCAAGGAAGATTCTTGTTTAAGTACATGTAAAGACTCTTTGTCCATTCGCCACCCTAGCCCAGACAGCACGGATCCAGCCACATTGCTGCAACAGAAAAACCATTGGCCAAAGACGCCTGGTCCACTTACGGCCCCAGACAGCAGGGTTCCAGCCACATTACAACAACAGAAAAACCATTGGCCGCAGTGGTTTTAAGCCTGCAAAAACATGACTAGAGTATACTCAGATTTCTACATGATGGAACAAATCAATTCTGAGAGCAGTGATTAAATTCTGTGAAGAAACTGCCAAACTATGATGAGAATAAACATTAAGAAACAATGAACCACATTATGCAATTTGCAACTCAGTATAGGACCGATTTTCAAAGACTCACGACCTCAGATACTAACCTGGTTTGCTTTCAGTGACTGAATCATTCTAAAGTAGTTTTGTTTGACGTCTTTAAAGTCTTTAAAAAAACCAAACCCACAGCCAAGCTCTCCCTGAAGTTACGAAGTCCCCATTCCTAAGGTGTACACTCGCTTTCTGTAGTTCTTCCTTTCCTTAACATTTGCTCTCACTTGCTCTCTCTCTGCTGGCTTAACTTCATACAGAGCTGCTTTTTTATTTTTAATGATAATAAAACTAAATACAGTGCACAAAGATGTCTAGTTAAGATAGATGCCCAGAGTGAGTGGATATTGTGACTCTTTTTTCTTACGAAACAGATACAACAAAGGAAGCAAGCAACTGTTTAGCAATCAGCCAGTGCAGATATGGAAGTGGCAGATAGCTGATTAGGATCTAGCCAGCCACTAGCCTGAGAGCCGCACCAAAGAACAGAATCAGCATTATAAAACACACACTTCGGTTTTAACATTCCCTGTCCTCTGCCAGAAGCCTCTTTAAAGAAGCTGCATAGTAAAAGGCATTATGTAATACCCTCGAATGGCCTTTTGGTGTTGACAGCATCAGGAGAGAGTGAGTTCTCCCCTTTTTGGCAGCAAACAGTCCTCAGATCAGCCAAACCACCTGCAGGACTTCACCTCAACAGTGTCAGAATGAGTCCAGCTGAAGCATCGCTGATTTGGAACAGCTGAAAAGTTATACTTGTTCACTATCAAATGCATGACTCATAGCTGAAACACTATGTTAGAAGTCAAAGGTCATAACACGCTCTAATTCTCAAAAAGGAGAAATATAGACAGATAATAAAAGTCAACAGTGCACGTACCAGCTTCATTGTCGATTGGGAACTCCCACAGTATTCCTTCTTTCGTCCACTGGATCATCTCCTCAAAACCGTTTCGGGGAGGCTGTGCAGTTATTGCTGCAACCTCCTTCGCAAATTCCAGATCCCAGATTGTTGGTGAAGATACTAGAACAGAAATTTTGTAAAGATCTGTCAGCATGCCAAAGACTTCTCGCTAGCTAAAACAAAGTCCTTTAACATTGACCTTTACGGAGACTAATGGTTCCAGCTGTGCAAATTTTTCTACCTTAGATGTCAGCATCAGCTTTCTCAAATGAGAATTCTCTGTTGAAATGAAAGTCCAATAAATTCTCAAATGTCTGGTGAAAACATATTCTGAACTCCTAGGAGACAATTTACTTTCAAGCCTTTCACAATGAGCAGGAGTTTAATTTTTGTCCTTCTTTGTCTTTCACAAATTGCACACGCAAACTCTGAACTTGACTGGTGCACTCTGCTAAAGGAATCTTGCTTACTACACGAGTTTTCAGGTACTTCACACACCCTTCAGGGAGACAGCTCAATCTACAAACAATGGCAATTCTTTCCCCAACATTCAGAAGGCCCCAGTTTTTGTGTCTTGGACTTGAGAAATCCTGATTTCCTATTCTTCTCCCAAAATCAAACAGTCTCTTGAGGGATGCATCTTTCCTGACGCCTTTTTTTGTTGTTGTTTCCTTGTCTCCCTCCATTATCAATTCACCTTAAGCTCCTTGCAACAGAGATCTTGGTGTGAATCCAAATGTTACCGTCCATTTGAAATGGATCACAGTCAAACTATTATTTCACTACTCTTAAGTATTTGAAACTAAGACATCATTTCATCATTGGCTCAGTGGCTTACAACTCCACTGGATTAAAAATAAAATCTCCCCCTTCCTTTAAGAAAAAACGAAATGAAAGGGCAAACAGTATTTTTATTTACTGAAAAGTGTTTCCTTTTTTTTTGTTAAATCAGAAGATACTTTTTCAAATTATTTCTCCCTTAGCAGGGGAATTTCCAGAACTGTATTTCCTAGCTGTCTACTTTGATTTGAGGGCTGGAGGCAGGAATAAAATACAGATAAAAGACAACATGAGAAACCATACCAGAATGAAATTATTGTTCACATCTTAAAGAATACTTTCTAATAATGTGCTACTACTAAATCTTCTAATAGAAGAGAACAGAAACTAATTTTTTCAAGCTTGCATTAAAGGTGACAAACACTACATTTTCACGTCCGTGAAACAGAAAATAATACTGATATTTTATGTCAACAGTTACAGATTTTTTTTGCCCGGATGCCAATTTTCTTTCCAGTTACTATTCAGGTTTTCAAAATAAATATTCAATACATAACATAGAACTTGCTTTTCCGTCATGTATAAACAACATTTTAACTCATTAACAAATACGGGCCAAAAAAGTGAAAGCAAATGAATCAAGGTATCAAGTAGCATGCTGATATTTCCCAAGAAATACCAAAAAATGCAAAAGAAATTGTTATCGTCAGACTTAGTAAGCCAAGCAATAAGGTTCCTGGCTTAGAATATGTTGTAGATTTCCTCAAGGCTATGTGGAATTAAACAAGGAAACAGCACATAAACAGCTGAAAGAAGTTTACTTCTTAATCTCTAATTACAAATCAGATAAAGTCCACTTGCTCTCTTACACAATTTTTACATCTCTCAGCTTTGTGTTAAAAAAAAATAATGTGTGTCACAATTTTTTATCTAAGGAGACTGCGATGTGCCCTTGCATCTGCATTGTGCTCACGCAAAAAAAGAAAGGTTAAAGTCTCACCATTTTACCTGAGTAAATTTGATTCAACTCAAACGCCAGTTACTTGAACATGACATTTGCCAAGATAGCTAAAAACAAATGCTGCATCATTCATTATGTTTTATATGTAAAATGGCCTGATTTTAAGGCAACTGGCAGTCTTAAAAAACAGCAAATTTAACTCCATTCTAATAAGCAACTTTCATAGTCCACCACAGAAGCGACTGCATTCAGAAAGCTCACAGCTGCTTGAAAACATGCAAATAGCACTATCTGACATTTTACTAAAGAAGTTAAGTAAACAAATTAATTTCTTCCCACAGTTTCAAGTGTAAAAAAAATAAAAAAAGGAGAAAACTACTCAGCTAGAGTCTGGCAAAAACTAACAGTCCTACTCTTGAAACAGAAACAAGTATCTAACATTTTCTAAGATACCAGAGAGGAATACCGTTTCTTCTACAGCTGCTGGCGTTATATATAGTTCCAAGTCACTACATTGGAATAAAGTCTTTATTCCAAAGGGCCTCAGAATAGCTTAGGGAAATCAGCGTCATTGAGACCTGTGCAAAAAATGCACAGTTGCATTGTTCAGACAGAAAATTGAGGGAGTTCCTTATATGACTGATTTTAAACTGAATTAGGGTAGATCCAGACTAAATATAAACGGCAATTTTCTTTATAATGAGGGTGGTGAAACACTGGCACTGGTTATCCAGAGAGATGATAGAAGGCCCATCCCTGCAAACATTCAGGGCCAGGTTGGATGGGGCTCTCAGCAACCTGCTCTAGTTGAAGACATCCCTGCTCACTGCAGGGGGGTTGGACTAGATGAGCTTTAAAGGTCCCTTCTAACACAAACCATTCTGATTCTAAACATATATGAAGAGCTTCACAGCAGGTAAAGCAAGGCGCTGCTCGTCAGCCCCTTACAGGACCTTTCAAGCTACATATAGAAAACTAAACAAGAGAAGGCCACAAAGCAATCAAATGCATGGTCTTGATTCTTCCTACCCTGCTTATGCTTAGCTACCCGTAAACCACGTTTGCTTCCCTGGGATCAGAGCCTTGGGTTTCTTTACCATAAAATGAACGCAGTGAGTTTGCAACTTGACCAAAGAAGCTATTGGAGCCAACGTACCCATTCTCCAGGCTGGTTTTATACTCACAGGAAAAAGACTGGCCTTAGTGAAAAACAGCTGGTTTTACCCTTCAGGTTCAGTAACAGAATGTCCTGATTACAGAAAACATTAATCTATTACATTGCATCAAAATTTTGGTTACTAAAAATCAGAGTTACATTAAAATATTCATTTTTAATAGGTCTGAAAGCAGAAAGCTAACAGGTCATAAGTCTCCTTCACAAGAGTGAATCTCTTGATATTCCAAAAATTCAGAACTTGGCTTCACCGGGTTTTTCATTATTGAGTTTCCACTAACCTGTTTTCAGTGCATTTTCTGTTTCTGTAGAAGCCTTAGTGAATATATTAAGCCTCTTTCCCACTTTGAGACTTCTATAAACAAAAAAGAAAAGTGATATTTCACAACACTTCACAACATTGCCAGATAACAAATTTAAAAGCACAAAATATTCTCATGAACTAACAGATCTCTGGAGGACAAAAAAAATAAAAAGAAAAATAATTTAAAAAGAGATAGTGACTCTCACTAAATCCTCAGGCTTTTAACTAGAGAAAATGTTTATGACTTTATTATTCATCTGTAACAGAGCTTCCCAAAACATTTCCGTGTGAAAGAATGAGCATAAATCAAACATTACATTTGCAGTCATTTTTTACTGAAATCTTCAGGAGTCTGAACAACAGTAAACAGCATCAAACCACAGTACTCAAGCAATTTTACAAAGCTGCAACTAAAATGTCAATCTGGTGATTTGGGTTTTTTCCTTGTAAAAAATATTGCACAATTTAGGAAGAGAAAAGGCAACAGCTAAATCAAACAGTTCCTGCTTTATGACACAAATAGCCCTTCTGGAAGATTACACAGCCACCTTCTCTGCCACATGGCAAACACTCAAAGTATACCTGTATGATATATCTTAAATACTAACACCTCGATGGTCTCTTTTCTGAATATAAAAATATTTCACTCTGAACACCTATATTGAATCATATTCATCTTCAGCACAAGCCGATACTAAAAAAAAATTTGAAAAACCCAAGAGTTCAACAAGTAATCAATTTTCTTAAAAATGGAAACAAAGAATGTGAACTTTAGAACAAATGATCAGACAATCTTCCAAGTTTTCACTGAAATTCTAATAGTTCCTACTTTATGTTATTAGATATTCACTGTTACCCTGGCAATAATTGCCCTTCCTGACCTTAAAATCGCACCTCTCTGGATTTACTGCAGATTCCTGATGGCCACAACTATTTCTGCAAACCTGCTCTTGTCATATTACATTTTACTGATGTAACTACCCTGGATCTATTTCAGCACATAGCAATCTAATTACAGAGCCCTAAAAGAATGTTGATTTAGGATTATATTTTCCTATCTGTGTGTAACTCCCAGTAACATTGGCTAAAGATACAAACATGACTTGGAAGAACATTTATTTTAAGACGACTAGTTCGAATTACTATAAAGCAACATCACACATTTCACTGAAATCTACTAACTCAATTTAAACTTAGATATTCTTCCTAACCCATTCTCTTCATACTATCAATAGATAAGTATACCCATTAGATCTTCAGGGATGCAGGAGAAATCTTAGGACTGAAACTGGAGACATTTTGCTCATAACAGGGATTTTAAAAACTATTTTAAGGTACTGTTCCTGAAGTTACATACCAAGTACAGTTTCATCACACAAAGAGGGCGAGACAGCTTCTCAGATATAAACTTAATACATGTTCTCAAGCATGAGTGAAATTCACTTTACTTTGCAGTATGTAAATAAATGAAAAGTTTAGCAAAGATATAAAATAATATTCACTGTACAAGCATGTAACAGCTCAGGTTTTGAGTTTATACTTCTAGATCATATTATTTCTGTTCTTTCAAACTTTGAAAAGCTTTTAATCCAACATCTTGAATAAAGTATTTCTCATAGTCAGTTAAGCCTAATAACAGAATTACTTTCATACGACTAACTCTGCCTGATAATTAACCTCAGATTAGAAACCTCTACAGAGGTATTCAGCAACTGATAATGAAGTAAATTCCATTATAGCTGAATGAAAATCCCAGGACAGATACATCGCAGTCCAGAAGGCTTGGTCTAGAACATTCTTCCACTTCTTCAGCTTCCAAGAAGCCCCTCTTGCACTTTCTACAAGGAAAATAAAACACTGCTGGCTGGCCTTGTAACATCGAAGAGGCCCAAGAGATACTTCCCTAATACATCCTAATAGTTTGGCAGTTCAAGGATAAGGAAGTTACTCAGAAACATTTCAACAAGCAGGCCAAGTTCTTCTAACGACTGGCTATAGCCACATCTCCGAGGTTTCTGCATGATCTACATGGCTCAATGCACACGTTACAATTTGTTCCTTATGGGAAGTCACAATCGTCTGTTTATGATACACTGAAACAGATGCCTCAGCCAAAGAGGGCAGAATATTGTCCATCTACTCATCCATAAATTTATGGGTTTTTTTTTTTTTCTTAGTTATCCAAATTCTGCCTTCAGCATTATCTGTCTAAACTCAAACAACTCCCCTAACTTCCAGCCCCTAACCTCAAGAAAACAGGATTAATTTGCAAATTCAATTAATGATTAAAGAAGTTAATCTTACTAAAAACAGAACTGCTAGAGAAAGAATATACTGAGAAGGAATAAGATGATAAGCTGCCATGGGAAAATCAAAAGACCGCAGGCAAGAAAGCAGAACTTACAGTAGTGAAAAAAAAACAACCAAATAAAATTAAGAGCACTCCTTAGTTCATTAAGAAATAGACTGGCCACATAACCAGCAGCAAGATAAATTTTAGGAGTACCCTGAAATCATAATGTAAATTACAAAGTTCATTTCATAGACAATTATAGTATCACAGACAGAGAAATAAATTAGAGAATGACTTACCAGTTGCAACAAGATGGTAAAAAAAAAATAAAAATCAACCTTAAAATCCCTTTAAAACCTTAACGGAATGGATGAAACTGTTCTAAACATAGAACACATATCAAAGTTTTCCATTGAATGAAAGTAAGCCTTCAAAGCTTCCATTTCCCAAAAACTTAAGTGATACACAATTGTATCATGCTTAAGTGAGAATATTTTAAACTAGTGAAAACAAACACAACTACATTTCAGCACCAAGTATTTTTAATTACCTAGAAGTTAATATTAAAAAGTGCGCATTATTTGATCAGCTGGTTAACAGTAGCTAATGTGTTCTCACAGAAGTTTATTTCAGTGCTAACAGCACTTTTTTTGAAAAATACTTTAAAAATTTCTTTAAGCTCTGGAGTATCACAGTAACATGAATACGTACGAGTAAATCTAAACCATTACACATTACTAATTTTTTGCACACTCCTATTGGAAGAAAACATAACAAAAATACCTTCTGGAGTCAAGAGACCGAGGTGACAATCTTTCAGGCTCAAATCTTTGACCATCCTCATCCAGCCCCAAGGAAATGCGACTGGATATCCTTACACCTCTCGGAGCTGAGGACTGCTTTTTAACTGCCATTTCTGAAATAACGTTGCTGAAATTAAAAACATGACAGTAGAAACTCAACAAATCAACAAAGCAAGGAAGTTTGTCACATGCATTAACCAGAAGCTCTACTCTCAACTAGTTTCATAAGCCTCTGTAAGACAGAATTACACATTCCTCACAAAATACACCCATTTTTAAGTCATAAAAGATTTAAGTCTTACTTTTTAAACCACCTTAGTTGTTACATTCCATATAGATGAAAAGTGCTATTTTAGCCTACTAAATCTACAATGAATACTTTCTTTGAAATTATTTCGTTTCCAACTAAAAGAAGAATTTCATGTATCTGCATATCAATATTCACAAAGTGCACATGTTTTGCTTAAGTAAATGAGGAATTTCTCTGGATTCAAGGAATATGCCGAAATAAAAATCACCAGTTTTTTGGACAGGAACCAACACTGCCCAGGGACAGAGCTGTGCTGCTGCAGACCAAAAGGAAGCTGGCCTTCACACATCAGCTGACATGGGTCAATCATGCCACCCTAATAAGTAGGTCACCTTTCCTGATCCACTGCAATCTGTTGCATTGCATAATCATATTACAGCATTAACAGGCCACATCTTCCTTCATAACTCTGTAGTCAAAATCATGCTTGAAGAATCAATGCTCTGATCTCTTCCAGAGCAGTTTGCAGCTCATTCTGAACACAAAAGGCAAAACACAGCACCTTTCTGCCTCTGCCGATTAGTCCCCTTTAATGGTAAGTCTGTTGGTTGGTAAAGACCAAGCTGGTAACTCTTCCTCACTGCTAACATTTCCACTCAACAGCTTCCAGTGACATGCAGTCATCCAAAATTGCAATGCTCGAGTTTTAAGACACACATATATTTCCAAAAAACAGAAATAAATTAGGTCAAAAACACTGCATATCCATTTTACGAAAATCTGAATGAAGTTCACACACTGTTTTTAGTGGTTTCAGTCATAACAGATTTTCTTAACAAGAGAGAAATACTTCTGGAAAATCGTAAAAGCTAACAGCCACAGCAACACAGTAGGATTTCTCTTCAGTCTTAGATGTGGTTGGAAATGGCAGAACAAGAACTGTGGCTCTTCAAGTACCTACTCTGAAAGGCATCTGTAAATGTGTTCTAAGTAATTTCATCTTAATCTTAAAGCAAGAGTAGTCTCAGACTACTTGCGTATCTCACACTAGAAACTACCCCATGAAGTGCCTACTGGCATTAGCAAGCTGGTGCTGGGCCAGAGGCTTGACACACTTCTGAGGGTCACTGGGACATAATTCCTAAGGTCAGTGACACACAGCCCTGCCCAACTGCTTGGCTTGGCTGTGACCTACAAAGCTGGAGTGTTCCCATGCTACAGGGGGATCAGGCTTCCTCAGAGAAGCTCTTCTCACAGCCAGCCTTGAGTTATTTGTGGTCTTGCACAGTACTTCTTGACAGACTATGCTACCAAGCTATCAGAATATGCAGTCAATGGTATCACATTTCTCACTGGAAGTCCTAATGTCGCCCCATCATTGGTATATGAACATTTCTAGCAGCAACAGTCATTACTCCATGAGCAAAAGTGCCCCTTCCTTAATTAAAAATAAAACTACAAAGATGTTATCATTGCCTTCAATACAGATAAATATCAGATTGCAAATTCATGCCCCAACCACAGTGGACCTACAGAGGTTAAGTATGACACGATATTACCTCATGTCCCAACATGAGGTTAAAAAGCTAAGTTCCTAAATACTTCTGCCTTTCAGAGATGGGAAGAGGTAGAGCTTTTGTAACAAGCACAGATTATCTCTCCTTCCTGATTACCAACAAATAATTGTAACCCTAAAATCAAAGACTTAGGGAGCTTAGGATATACTTTAGCCTAAGCTCTGTATTACTTTTCTTCTTCACCCAAAACAGGAGCTGAAATTTCAACTTGTAGTGCCACTGATTTTATTTTGGTATAGTGCTGTTGTAATTTCCACTGAGTGAAACTTCATCCCACACTGAGAAAAATAAATTCTTGTATCATTAATATTTTCCCCTCCGAGTGAACACACTGTCCTCACGCTGTCTACAAAACAAGGCAATGAGACGAGTGCATACAACAGTGACCTCTGGAGGCCATGCCACAATACTGCGGAAAAAAATAAATCCGTACGAACCAAAAGATCCAGACAATGCAAAATTAATTTCCTACCCTCATAAATCTCCACAGCAGTATCCTTATTTTTTGCAGTTGAGCATTATATGCTTGTGGAGGTACTTCACTTTTAAATAGTTTTAAATAATGGAGAAATAGATATTGGCTTTTAAAATGTGTCAGTATACTGAATGCAAAACCTATATGGAAAAAAATTAAATGTTAAACTGCCCATATTCTCTTGCTGTCAAATAAAAGACAACACAAAATAATAATGTATAAATAAAAGTAACCGCTGTCTAATGCAGTAGAAGCATTGTAGTGTCTTCTGTGGACTGACGTATTTTGGAGTATGAAGTCATGCCCAAGCAAGTCTAAGGGCTGCTGAACTTTTTAAATGCAGCATTTTTAATACTTATTAGAAAGCCAAAAGTACCAAATTCACCTCAGAGTATAAATGTGAAAGGTTACTATCAACAAAGTTTTCAGTCATGAAAATCAGCAGGTGTTGCTAGAAAACTCATCCACTGACAGAGTTTCACACTGTCACCTAACGGTTCAGAAAGAAACTGGAACTTTTCAGCATATAATTAAAAAAAATAAATTCTATATATTCCCAGGCAGAAGTAAGCTAGTTCACAAAGCTGCTTCAGGGAGCAGAACTTGCCAACTCAAATCAGAGCAAGCCAGCTATGAAATTCCTAGCCAACCAAACAGGCTGGTTTTGGTTAAGGAAAATGCATTTTATTAACCATAGTGATTCATCCACAAACATGTTATAAAATATCATACCACTACATCTTAACACATTGACCAGCTATATACAGGCATTCTACATAGTTGCATGGACTTCAGCTTTTAAATTTCTGAAGAATTTAAACTCTCAGCAGAAAAAAAAAAAAAGCTGTTTTGCTTAGACAACTTCCTCAGATGCCTCCTTTCTTCCACAGCTGCCACATCAGGAAAACTGCAATGGGTGGCGAGGGCAGCGAGCCCTTGTTGCCAGTAGGGAGACCAACCCCAATCAGAGACGAGTAAGGAACAGATGTAAGAACAGACCTTAAGGAATAGATGCAGGCATATATGAGGTCAGCCACTGCACCTATTAGCTCAGTCAGTATCAGTACAGTCCCCCAACATCTCATCAGAAATTGAAGTAGGTTCTAACTACTATTAAGTTGGCCACCCACAGCCAATGCCATTCTTAAGATGTTTGTGTGCTCTGTTCTAAAAACCCCAGTGACAGAGATGGAACAACCTCAATGGTAATGAGCAGTTTAATGAACTGTATATTTTATATAAAATAGTCCTTATTTTTTCTCCTTACATTACGAAGTGTCTCTACTGCACACACAAAAAAAGCAGAAACACATCAATTTTACATAAAACAGCCAGACCTCTCACCTTTAAATCTATTCATTTTTGCTCCAAATGCCTGTGGTGAGATAAGCTGTCCAGTTCTCAAGATCATCTATATTCAGGCACAGAGGACATTACAAAAGCAGAGGACATTACAAAAGCAGAGCACACACAGCCTTTGGAGATGCCTGCACGTACTACCTGAAACCACACTTCCTCCTCAAACAGCACAGACTTCCCACATTTGGAGAGAACTTCCTTCTGCTCTCCACAACCACCATTAGCACTCTTGGTAGAGCATCATAAGTACAGGCTAAAAGGAAAGCTTGCATAGTTTCTCTCTTTTCCCTTCACAACTTCTGAAGAACATGCATTTTGTTTAGCAGTTATTCACTAAGCACTGTATACCCCAGTCTCTTTGCAGCCATCTAACTCAACCTATTTGAAAGCATCTGTCACATTCTGCCTTAGTTTTCACTCATTTAAAAGGCAAGCAGCCACAAACTTCATTAGCTTGCTGGCTGCTCTGTTTGATAACACTGTACTCTGATAAACATACAAAGCAGATCCTTTACTGATCCCTAGAACAACCTACAAATATTAACACATGGGTCAAATTTAAATCCTGGGTTAGGACAAAGTAATTTTCACAGAATAATTTAAAACTAAGATGAGCAGTTTGCAGATCACCCCACAAACAGCCATAAATAAAGGTTTTGCATTCCTATTTTGCTGAAGATCCAATTTGATGTTTAGTTCAGCATTTCACCTGGATTTAATGCCTTATTTCCTAAGTAGTTACCTGAATACTAGCTTAAAAAAAAACAGAGAACAAAAAAAATCTGTCTTTAGCCATCATCCCAGAGAGCAGTGTGCACAACCATTTCAGTTTCCAAACAAATGTTTCTCATCTGTTTGAAAGCCAGACTGGAAATGGAGTTAAGCCAAGAGACGAGTTTCTTGGGTTGACTGGAAAGTTTTGAAAGGAAGGGTGGGGCTATAAATAGCACTGCTCTAGTTCAGTTCTGCAGAGCTGTCATGAAAATTCACCAGTCCAGACAGAACATCTGAAACATCTACAAATCCATCCATTGTGAGAGAATTTTGGAAGCTTGGAAACAACAAAAAACCCCCAACCCTGTTATTTTGCTAGCCTGTCCAAGAAAGCAATGATCCTGGACATGAAAACAATTCACTTTCCGCAAAATCATTTTAGAGTGAGAATGGCAAGATTTTGAGAATTTGGTATAACCAAACCAATAGTGTTCCAAATATTCATTAATCCCAAGTATAACCTGTCCAAATGCATATTTAGGGCCATCTTTCCAACACAGAACCCAATCATCTTCAAGATGACATTGTAAAAACAGAATTCCAAACATTATTGAGAATAATATTCAATATACAGACCGTATGTTAATAGTTCCCCCTTTTTTCTGTTTATCTGTGGTTTCTTCGTGTCTTCGTAGCTGCGCAAGTAGTTCTGATTCTATCTGTTTCTTCTTGAGTGGCAGGGAAGATGCGACTGCAGAAGCAGCCTGCACCAGTTCTCGATTTAAAGGTTTGCCTCTGTAAGAAATGCAACAGATGTGGAAATAGAAAAAAATAAAAGCTTTAATATATTTAAATTGACATTTGTGTACCGTCATTTTATGTCTTAATAACTCAGAAGGTACAGTTGCACATTATTGCAAATGGCAGTTTGCAGGGGGACAGCTTGGTTTGTCCAATGTTGCACTAATCATCAACTGTCAAGTGACACCAACAAGCTCCTGTTCTCAAACCTGGGGACATGGCAGCCCTATGCCACTGCACAGACCCTCGGACCTGAACGTTCAAGACCACAGGCGGCATAAAGCCGCAGGGTTATAAACAGGCTGTAACCCACTGCAATGTGTATATAGCCTGCATATACATTTACAACCACAACACATTGTGGAGGGGAGTCACTTGTGACCCTTGACAAATGTGATGCCATTCTTAGCTCGGTTTTATTCTATTTCATCTGAACAGTATTTTTCCCCCCCGCCACGAAAACAGCTTTTCACAGGCAGGTGGTAGTGCTACCTTCAAAGAGTCTCAGCGCAGAAAAAGTTAGCATATGGTAAAAAGCATACAACATCTTTTGTCCAGATTCTCCCCTGTGATTTACTGCAATCTACACTACTTTCCCTTACAAGATTCTTCTTCGTACTTGCAAACGGCATTTGATGCTTTATTTTGTCCAAGATACCAACAACAACAACAACAACAAAGACTTGAAAAAAGGAGAAAACCAGCTAAGAAAAGTTAGTTATACTTTACCGCTGGATGTCTTCGGTAGTTCTCCTGAGCGCAGGACCTTCACTGTCGGGGCCTTCCAGCTTGTCTGTGGCTTGCTTTTTGATCTCGCGTGTTTTCAACTGTTCAAGTTTCTTCCTGTAGCTCACTTCTACTTTCATATTACCAATAAGGTCTAATAACTTCTGCTTTGGTGTTTCTGCTGTACTCTCCTGTCTCTTTGATGCCACTTCAGTGGTGCTGTCTTTGGAAGCGGCAGATTCACCTTTCTCAGTAGAAAGCATGCTGCTTGTGCTGAAGAGCCTCTGTATTTTGCTAGATGACATACAAAGTTTGAAAAAATAGTAAATATATAAAAAAATCAGAAGTTACAAATAGGGCCCAAGGGTGAATTTTGTAAGCCTACAGAGGAAAAAGTCAGTTACAGCTGTCTAGGCCTAACTGAGTACATTAAGTACACATCAAACACGTACCTTTCTAACTTTTGAGACGAGCTAGGGCACTACTCAAAACTCTTGATTATTTATGGTTTCTTCATCACAGAAATCACGTAAACAACTTCATTTTCTCCACAAATTGTCTTTAATCTAGGAACATAAAACTTTTTCAGTATCCCTGCATAAGGCAGTAGACTGCGAGTCTGAATCTACTGTTATTTGATGCTTAAATTTATCTGTACTATAGAAATCTCACTGTAACTCTCAAAATGGCGCAACAAAAAGATCACTTCCAGCCACCTGAAAAAAAGATTGTACATACACATTTAGCTTCACACGGATCACATTCCCCTGCCCTATGCCTGCAATATAGCAGCTAAGCATTTGTGCAGCCCTATGAGGAAATGGATCCTACTGCATGATAACCAAGCAGCAAACAAAAAAGTTATTTTTCCATCTGGAACAGTTCCTATACCTGGTTTACCACATCACTGCGAAGAAGCTAAAACTGGCATGGTACAGGAAAGGATGTGAAGCCAGTGACAGCAGGGAGCTCCTTAGGATATTGCCGCAACACAGACATGACCGCATTCTCTGGAAAAACTATCATAAATTTCAGAGAGCTGTTCTCTCTAACATTATAAAATGAAATTTTAAATTTTTTAATTCACAACTACTTTTTTGTTTAAAAACCACAATCAATCTAATGAAATTTAAAAAAAGCTTACAATTAAATATTTATTTTGGTTCAAAACAGAACTCTTCAACAGATCTGAAAGAATTTTTAAATACTTTCTCTCCCTCCCCCACCACGGCTCTGGCTAAAAAAGACAATTCCACCAGTATCAGCAGGCACCACATTCCTGAGAAGACAGTAGGAGTGATGCTCTTTTACACATAACTATTCTCCATACATCTTTTTCAGATATGTTTTGCTTAAAACATTTAAAGCCAGTAGCAAGCTGCAGTTTGCATTACTGTATTTCATCTACCATTGGGTTTGCCTCCTGCTCAGAAGCCAAGCCATAGAAAGTAAACGGGAAAAGAAACCAAGCTATTATTATATGAGACTGTCACAGAATTGGAGCTTGTTCAAACATATTGAGGAGCTTTGAAATATAAAATATAAACGTGCAACTAACTTTTCATTAAAAGCTTTTAAAAATCTTTTAATACAAATAAAAAAGATCTTTCAAATACTACTTTTAGCCAGTGCTTTAGGTGCATACCCCTGCTAACAGGTGAACAACAGCACACAGCTCAGGCGGGGCAGATGGCCCCAACTGGGCCTGCTTGCTGCCTGAGTGGGTCTAAACGCCGGGGCACCCGGGAGCCAGGCAGCTGCACCGAGCAGGCCCTGGACCCGCTCGGCACAGGCGCCACGGTCACGGGAGAAAGCCTCTAAAACCATGACGCCCCTGTTTAACACCAAGGCCAAGGGCGGCAACCTGCTCTGGTGGTACGGGCCGCGGCGGGCCCGGCCCCACCTGCGGCGACCTGGAGCGGCTTCCCCCGGGGAGTTAAGGAAAGGCTGCGGACACTGCCTGGCCCCCACGGCAAACCCACACCCGCTGCTTCTCCTACCAGGTGAGGGATTTATGGGAGGCGACGGTACCTGTGAGGCCTCCCCTCCTGCCGCGCTACCCCCGCCAGCTCT